GGGGTCAAAGTGGGTCAACCAAAATGCAATTTAATGTTCAATGAGTCATAATTAAGGGTCTGGAAGTGACTAGAGGCTCTGGTGAAGGCTCTAGGGTCAAAATTCACCAAGTGGCAAGTCTAGTGGCATAGGCCGTAAATATTTGAAGGTTTTACAGCCTTTGGATTTTGATTTAGATTCTGGGGTTAGAGACCTCAAAATGAGCTCAAATTTGGAGAGTAGCCTCTAGAGACATGTCCCATCAATATGCAACTGACAGACCTTGAATCAGAGGTCATTTGATAGGGTTTTGAAGTGTTTGAAAATTCACTGGAAAAGGTCTTTAGGACAAGGCTTCTAGACTTTGGATTTGAGTCTGGATTTTGGAATTGATCTGGATTTTGAGTTTTATTGATTAAGTTTGAGTATCCAAATCATCTATAATCATTTGGGTGAATATTAATGACTGGATAGGATCAGAGCTAACTCACAGGTAGGATCAATACCTGAACTGGAGTCTGAGTTCTGAACTGGGTTGGATTTTGGATTTTCATTAAGGCTTGAATTAAATTTAGATATGGATTGGCTTGGGATCAGGATTGATCTGGAATCTGGATGGATCTAGGGTCAGGATTGGCCCGAGTGACCTCATACAAAAATGAGGTCAACAATTGCATATAATAAAATGACTGTACTGATTACACCATAAGCATGAATTTTCCTCCATAGCAAAACCTTAGGCATGATTTCTTATGGGGCTAAAAGCCTAAAATCCAAAAGATTAGATCTATAAGTCTATGCCAAAAATAGTAAAATTTTTGGACTTACAGATTGCATATACCAAAAATAACCTAACAAATATGCCTATGGTCAAAGAAGAAAGTAAGCTATTCTTGATAGAGAACACTTTTTCATATGAAATACTAATATAAGAAAATTATTCCCTTTTGTTTGAATTATAAAGAAGGCTAGTAATTGACTAGATAAATAATAACCTCTTACTCAATGTTCATAAAAAATATATCCCAAATTAATCTTAAAAAATGTAAGTATTCATTATATAAGTTAACAAAAAATATTTAATATTAAATATGTAAACAAATAAAAAATATAGTATGAATGTAGAACGTCCAAAATTGTTTGGCACGGACGCTGTGGTGATGGAGACCACTCGCACGTTTTTGCCTTACCGGCGGGGGAAAGAGCGCATTGCTGCGACCTTCTTCCCTTCCCAAGCTCCTCATGGAAACCCTACCTCCGACTTTGAACCTATTATTCCGGTCATCTCTGGAAAGTGCGCCCTCTTTCCGTTCTCCTCGCGTTTCACTTTTACGGAGATTCTTCATCGGATGCCGCTTCGTTGCGTCCGCTGCCGGAGGATTTTGCGCCGGTAACAGAAGAGAGGAAGGCCCTTCGTTGAAGTTCTCGCCCAGTGCATTTCCAATCTCTGGTCCGTTGCCATGCTGTTAATCTTTAATCATATTTGATTATTTTATTGGCTTATCTGACTTGATTTGTGGTGTTAAATTTAGGAGCTGAGGATTCTTTATTGAGTTTTATCAATGGCAAAATGAAGGCGACCGATGTAGCTCATTCGTAGGTTTTGACCACCTTTCGCTAGCGGATACCTAATTACAGTAACAGTGTTGTGGCTTGAATCGATGCTTTCCCTTTTTTAGTTGAAAATTTCTAAAGATAAATTAAAAGAAAATCATGAAGAAGTAAGACAGATTTTGTGTTTTTCCTCCCGTATATACGGTCTCGTGGATTTCATTATATTGCTTAAGTTATAAGTATAGGAGATGACCTAATTTAAATACTAAGATGTACAATGGTCACAAAATAGTAGAAAATTTTATATTTACACAAGCAATGCTTTATTGAATATGCCTCAAGTCTATGTAGAATCTATATTTTACTTCTTATAAACAGGGAAATAATCTTTTGTAAGGATTGGACTTCACAAAACCTTAAGCATGTTCTAATTGAGCTTTGTAGGACCTTCCACAATTGTGATTTTAATAATTACCTATGATGATTATAGAAATCTATAGGAATTATTTTTAGGTTCTTGCTAGCATTGCATTATAAAAAGCTGATGCATGGATGAGGGTCATCCAATCAAGACATCATAGTCTAAGCCTCTAATGTTAAAGGAGGCGATGGAGATAAGAGCCCTACAAAGTTTTAGGGGTTGTTTGGCGACAGGATTTAACATGATTTATGCAGGATTTGAGCATCATTTATGCTAAACCCTGCCAAACGGGATTTGAGCACCCGGTAAATCTCACAGCTGAATAAATCATCGATTTCCCTCTTTTTGCTATAAATTCCGGATTTACTAAATCTTTGAATTTGACGGATTTATGGGATTTGGCCGAAGAAGCGCACGAAAGGGATAAAGTTTGTTACCTTCACAGAGAACAAGCTCTCGTTGTTACTTCCGATCTAACAAGAATTATGCCGCCGAAATGTCGTGGCTTTCGATCCGACAAGAAGGAAACTTCACCGAAGGAGCTAAATAAGCGACTCGTTGCAACAAATTTGAACATCAATGAAGGAGCCGATGAAGCAACTCTTGCAAAACTCTACTTTACGCGAAGCAACAAAGTCGAATAGCAACGATGAAATAGAGAAGATGAATAGCAAAGCCTGAACGCCTTAGCTTAGGGAAGAAATTATTCTAATTTAACTCAATTAATAAAATTTAAATTATAATAATTAAGTACATTAATTAAATAATTAGTAGCATAATTATGCATAATTTAATAATCTAATTTAGCTTAATTAAATAATTGGTAGTATAATTAGTAATAAAAATTAATATAATTAGCTTAATTATTATAATTTGAAATAGAAAATTTTAATTATATTATTATTAGTGTAAATAATTAACAAGTAGTAGAATAGTTAAGTGCTAATGAGATAATTAATTATATAATTAATAATCAAAATTAACTAAATAACACTTAGTTAATTAATTTAATTATTAGTAAGATTATTATCCAAATAATTAGTTATTTCAAAAAACAATTAACTAATTAAATAAAGAATTATCAATATAATTAGATATAAAATATATCATTATAATATCCACAATAATTAAAATTGAAATTAATAAGTAATCATACTTAACATGTAAATTAAATTTAAAACAAAAGAAATTTAATTTTTAAATGAACTAATCGCCTTAAATCCTGGAGTACATTGCCAAACAATTTCATAGGATTTAACAATATTTGACAACTATGTTGCCAAACAATTTTCACGATTTAACATGCTAAGATGTACTAAATCCGAATTTACAGGATTTAATAAATCCTACTTGTTGCCAAATAACCCCTTAGTTTAGGCATGATAGAATGGGCTAGGCTCCAGCTTAGAGTAAAAGTAAGGATCTCGTGTGACATTTGTATAATTATTGCACTAATAGGTCTCCTCTAAGGCTAAAGTCAAGGAGAGTTGAAAATAGGGAATTTTAATACTATGGATGAGTTATTTACTTTATATTTAGAAAATTAATTTTAATGCATATACATGGCAAGTAAGGAGAGAGGGGAGCTTGCTGGCTTGCAAAATTATTTTCAATATTCAATAACATTTATTAAACTTCACAAGAATCATTCTTTATTAGAGGGGGTTTACAAGCAATGTAACTAAGCAACATCAAAAGTAATTAAAAGAAATCATAATGAAAATCTTCAATTTTAGGCAATTATTTGTGGTAGAGGTTGTCATAATATAGTAGCCTTTATCTTCAACTCAATTAGGAATTATGAGGCGGTTTTGATGACTTGTCTGATAGCAATGACGATGGATTTTTTGTCAGTTTTCTTAACATGAAATACAACACATAATCCTTTATGGTTTGCTGCCAACTTTCCCAGAGTGTAATGAACTCTATTTTTGAGAGTTTGGATGTTGTTAGAGAAAAAATAGAAGGTTTTTGTGTTAGTGTCGAAGTTAGTGAAATTTATTCAATTGGGAAATTTATCCCGCGGAAGAAGAGACAAAATAGAACCAAGTCGAGGTAGAAGAGATGATGAGATTACTATCCCATATAGAGAGAATGAAGGTGAAAAATAACACCATCTATATCATAACAATAGAAGCTTCTCTTTGTAATTTCTTGTGACACTCACGCAACTCTTAGAAGAATATCTTCGAGCATGTAAAACTTTTGAGATATTACATGAAATTTTTGCAGTCTTATTCTGAAGTAAAATTGAAAATAGAAATAAATTAAACAAACATATCAAATGGACTTATTACCTTTTGGGCTCTTTTTTTGTTCATCCATTTATTTATGGCTCATGATTTGAGTGGATCTAGGTTGGGCTTGGGTTTGAATGATTTCAGATCGTTTAGAGTTTGGATTGGATTGACTTAAGATTTTAGTTGATTGAGGTAAATATGGTTTATATTATATAGGAAATGTATGATTAGGTAGTTTTAGAAAAGATTTGGATGTTACCTTTTTGAAAGGTGGAAAAATATAGAAAAATAGAAAGTATATTATGTGAAGTTAAAAGGGAAAAAAATGGAATGAGTTAGGTGGAAAAATATAAATATATTATTTGGAGTTAAAAAGGAAAAAAAAATTATATTATGGAAAATACTGAATCTAAGAAATAGGATATATATCAATTTATATATTTTTTGGTATCAGGATAATTTTGATAAGATTTGATGTAGTAGGTTATAGAAATATTTATAGAGGTGGATTTGGAAAAGATAATGTTGATTCCAATTTAGTAATATTTGTTCTAAGCATTTAAAGTAATAAAATATGATGCAATAAGTCTAAATTTATGAAAAATGTTTGTGTGATGAGTTATGAAAGGATTTAGGAAGATATTGTGTATTGAATATTCCAAGAGAAGGAAGAATATATGGGGATTTTGAAAGAGATTGGTGGAGATTCTTTTCCCAATGGGAGGAGGCGATGGGGATGGATGCTAGGTGTCTAGGATGTTGGATGTCTCTACTTAAGGTTGAAATTTGGATGCAAATTACAGGTGCGAGCAAGTCAATATAATAATTCTATTAGGACAAAAACTATAGCAATAATGCAACAAAAAAACCAAAAGAAGACAATGACAAAAAATAATGGAGTTCAACTCATGTAGTGTATGATTTAAGCAAAAAACATGGCAAATAGAGGGCAACAATAATTAAAATTTTGGATTTATTTTGTGCTTTGCCTTATTTTGGGTTTGGAGTAGGTTTTACGGTTTGGTAATACAAGTTTATGTATGATGATGGGATAAAAGAAGAAGATGCATTTTGGTGGTTGACAACCAATGAATGGAAACTTAAAAGTTATATGATTGCGAGCTCCATGGATGCCTTGATCTTCATGGTAATGTAAATTTTTATCATGGTGATTTCTTAAGATGAAAAATTGATCCTTTAATCACTACGTACTAGAGGAAATGTTTAGTTATGATGTCAATTTGCGTAGATGTGAAAGTGTTGATTCTTGATGGATTTTGGATGGTGAGAAGATGAATCAATTTAAGTGAAAGCCAGAGAAGGAGAGAGATGTTATATGGGAAAGGAGCATTCGACGACTTAAGTAATTGTAACCTATGAAGCTCTCAAGAAAATTTGTGTAATTAACCTTAAAATACTTGACATGCAAATATGAATTGAGGGACGAAAATTGTAATTTGAAAGTTAAACTAGAGGTCGATGATAAGGAGAAAGAAGATTAGGTGGAGAGGATCAAGGAAACTAATTGTAACTCCATCAAGTTTTCCTCTGTTTCCTACATTTGTTGGTGACCTTTTGGAGAAAATCAAGTATTTTGTTATTTTTCTGGATGAATAATCTTAATTTAAATATAAATGGAAGTTTAGGGTAAATTTTTTTCTAAATTGATGCATTTTAATTGAATTGTAGATAATATGAAACAGCTCCTAAATAAGAATTCGTAGGATGTTAATTTCAAATTAAAATAAGAAATTTCTTCTAAGTCACTCTTTTTGCATTTTAAGGGTTTAGACAAGGCCTCTATCTTGTATCTCCCCTTGGCATGTTGCCCAAGGAATTATTGGTCAATTTGACACAATTTATAGGAGAATTTGATAGTCTCTATCCTCTTGGGCAGGTTAAGAGACCCTATTATCTATTGGTTTCTTTGTAGAAGCTATAATATAGTTGTCTTTGTTAATTTTATTGATTTCATAGGCCTTCTATACTTGATTTTAAATTAAATTTTGGTATCACAACACTAGTTCAAACCTATAGGAACATTTTTAATTGTTAAATTAAATATTGGGAATGATACTTTTGGTGATTCTATATTGCCTGGATATACGACAATGAGCCGAGATTGCAAGCAATTGAAAATTATAGTGTTTGCCAGAAGGAACAAATGGCTACATATGCAGCTGGATTTTGAGCTCTTGCTGCTATGGTGGCACCATCAGCATCTGCAAACCAAGGAGAGTGATCTCATAGAAGACAACATTTTGCAAGGGAGAATACCTCAACGAGGAGAGAAGAATAAAAGAATACATAACTAAGAAGAATACCTTCCCTTTAGGGTAGAGGTAAAATTGGATTTTCCGTAAATGGAACAATTGAAGCTG